CACCCTCGGTCTGGGGCTCCATGCAAGATCTCACCTCGTGGGGCATCAATGATCATGAGGAAGGTGAGGGATCAGCCCAGAACTACACAGCAGAACCTGGTCAATGACCTGAAGAGAGCTGGGACCACAGTCTCAAAGAAAACCATTAGTAACACACTACGCCGTCATGGATTAAAATCCTGCAGCGCACGCAAGGTCCCCCTGCTCAAGCCAGCGCATGTCCAGGCCCGTCTGAAGTTTGCCAATGACCATCTGGATGATCCAGAGGAGGAATGGGAGAAGGTCATGTGGTCTGATGAGACAAAAATAGATCTTTTTGGTCTAAACTCCACTCGCCGTGTTTGGAGGAAGAAGAAGGATGAGTACAACCCCAAGAACACCATCCCAACCGTGAAGCATGGAGGTGGAAACATCATTCTTTGGGGATGCTTTTCTGCAAAGGGGACATGACGACTGCACCGTATTGAGGGGAGGATGGATGGGGCCATGTATCGCGAGATCTTGGCCAACAACCTCAGTAAGAGCATTGAAGTTGGGTCGTGGCTGGGTCTTCCAGCATGACAATGACCCGAAACACACAGCCAGGGCAACTAAGGAGTGGCTCCGTAAGAAGCATCTCAAGGTCCTGGAGTGGCCTAGCCAGTCTCCAGACCTGAACCCAATAGAAAATCTTTGGAGGGAGCTGAAAGTCCATTTTGCCCATCGACAGCCCCGAAACCTGAAGGATCTGGAGAAGGTCTGTATGGAGGAGTGGGCCAAAATCCCTGCTGCAGTGTGTGCAAACCTGGTCAAGACCTACAGGAAACGTATGATCTCTGTAATTGCAAACAAAGGTTTCTGTACCAAATATTAAGTTCTGCTTTTCTGATGTATCAAATACTTGTGTCATGCAATAAAATGCAAATTAATTACCTAAAAATCATACAATGTGATTTTCTGGATTTTTGTTTTAGATTCCGTCTCTCACAGTTGAAGTGTACCTATGATAAAAAATTACAGACCTCTACATGCTTTGTAAGTAGGAAAACCTGCAAAATCGGCAGTGTATCAAATACTTGTTCTCCCCACTGTACCTGAATTTGTCCAATAGAAACTCTCGTTTTAGTTGCAATATGGTTTTGCAACTGTTGGGACTAATGATTACACCCTAGATCAGCTAGGTGCAGAACAGAGTGTGCAAGGTGGGACTGAATGTGTCACTGTCTGTCACCTTGTCTCTCGACCTGTGTACCTACTTTCATTTGTAGGCTAGGTTGTAGCAACCTCATAATGGGTATAGGGCAAATTCAAGAATCATGTAGTAGCCTAAACCTATCGATGTTACATTGAGCTGGGTGAATGGAATATGAATGATAGTCATCCAATATGTTGTAATAGAAATAAGGTCATGCTCATTAAAAAATATATATATCCTCCCTAATTTTAAACGGCACCGACTGCCACTGGTGTAAAATGCAAATAAACGTACACATATCTTTAGAATATGATCATAGAACTACAACTTCGGGAATGTGTTTCAGTTCAGTTGTAGGTTGCATTGGCGTCTATGGTATGGGGCTAGGAGGGGGGGACGTGTGGGTAGCAGGGGTCTGGGGGACTGCAACAAGTGAGACTCTCTCTCCCTACTACCCATAGTGATTAGGCATGCCTGCCAACAGGCCCCTGCATCTGAACACTAATCAAATAGGAAACGTAGGCCCAGACATCCCATCATCACAAAACAATTGTCTGGAACAGTACAATCAGGCCACTCAACGACACATTGTATTGATGCGGGGGATCCAAACAAAGTCAGTCCGGTTGGCGAGAGCTACTTATATTAGAACAACTTCCAAAATGGAGAAATTCCACGGGTCAACAGCCCTGGAAGCTCGGGAGGCTAGACAAAGGCTAGACGAAGGCTACGCAGGGAGGCAGAGTGTACGATTATGGAGCAAGGAGCGTGTAGTACTAAAAGCATTGGAACATAAAGAAACAGGCCATTTATTACAAGTCCAATGATAACAACAGAAGCTACTGTATATTGTACAAGATATCATATTATTGGTATGAATCCTTGTCATCATCATGATCAATGTGTTTTTACAGCCCAAGCCATTACCAGAGAATGAAATGTAAACACTAGTGTTTTCTCTCTGGCAGTGCAGAGCTAAGATAACCTACACATAACCTTTGTGGGAACTACAACCAGCAGCCCTCAAGCGTTGAGAGAAAAACCGAGTGGCAGAAAGTCAACTCCCACAATATTCCTTCATAACAAACAAACTATGCACAAGTCATAAAAAAACTGTCTCAATAGCAATGTGCATGTGTTGGAGGAGAATGAAAATCTTAGCTAATATGTAGGCCTACTGATTGAAAAAGGCCATGCAAAAGACACGAGGAGGCACAAAGAACAAATTCATTAGAACAGATAATATTCAGCAACCATTAATTTTATTCGCCGCCTTAATTGGATGTAGCAAAGAGAAGACTGAAATGTAATTTAATTAATTAAAAGACAAGCAAGCACAGCGACTGACGAACGGTACCACGGCACTGATCGTTTGTTAAGATCCAGACAGGCCCTTGTTTTCACTATCCATGTGTAACATAACATTATCATTTTTTCCTGTGACAGGGGTGCTTGGTGGTGGCGGTGCTCGGGGGGGTGGGGGGGGGGGGGGGGGGGTCAGGACAGTCATAGAAAGCCAAAGTAAGAAATCAACATTACCACAAAGGCATCATCCCCTCTGACAATGGTATAATCCAATCAAAGACAATACAGCGTTGAAGTGTAAATACCACAGCACTAATCATTCTTATTAGGTTCTACCATCAGGTATGGAGGGAGAGAAACCAGGGAGGGAGAGGGAGAGAGGGAAAGCAGGAAAAACAAGCTCAAAGGGCTGTCTCCTTCGCAGTGAAGAACCTCATCATCTCCAGCAAGTCTAACTTTCACCAAATGAGAGGTAGCCATGGGCTATATATTAAAAATGCATATCAAAGCAAAGAAAAATGGACGTGAGAGATTCAAACTAAATAAATTAGCATATCTAACTATCAAATTGCCTTCCCTTCTCCAACTAGAAGAGAGGATAGAAATACATCATCAAACAGAGGCAAAATAAATAATACAATAAAACAAAACAAGTGTAGCTGCAACTGCTTGCCATCCCTACAGTACAAACACGTGTGTTGCTATATGCAGATTTCAATGTTGTGTTCACTCATATTAGTCCTCATCATATTTGGGACATATACAACTCAAACTACTAAAATCTGATATGGAAATGTGTGTGCATAATGTGGGGGACATAGCCATTAACTACAGAGTTTTAGGGCCTGGTTAAGCACAGGGCAGGAGAATATACACTCTACTGTTATAGGCCTAAATATCCTCTATTCTTCATGACACAAGACCTACAGTTTAAGCCATATTGTTTTCACTGCTATATCAGCAATTATATTTTGCACTGCATTTCACATTACTGTCAAGATGTACTGTATAATACAAAATCAGTGTAACAATAAATATATTATTAATAGTGATGTAGTGGTGACAAAATAGGTGGGTAAAGTCTGAACGTCAACACACTGTACAACATTGTGTAACGATTTAAAGCCTATCGTCAGTGTAAACTACAATGCACATGATTTTTGACATTTGCAAAAAGATAATCTGATAGCACATCCGTTATTAGCCTACAATTCGCACTACAGTTACAGCGCTATAGTCTCTTTGTAAACAAGGTATAGAAACGCACAAGCAACCTCCTGCTTTGGTAAAACTGTGCACAGCAATTAGCTGTAGTAAAATGTTCATTGAAGTCAGTATAAACGAGGCTAAAATAAATGACTTGTCAAGCACCTTCACGTTTGTTTATTGCTGCTCCTGATTTTCTTTATTGGCATATTTTTATTTCGCTAATTATGAAAATAATATTTCTCACAAGTGGACTCGATGACAATTGCTTAGGTTTAAACACTGCGAGGGAACATTGGAAATTGGCTTGAGTATATCAACCATCTGCCACGAAACTAAACAGGCTATCTAATCTCTTCAGTATAAACAACAGCATGCCTCACTTCTACACTTATTCTGATGAATTATCAACTGTACATTAGGCCTTTACAGTGCATCGATGCACCGGATAGATCTTCAAATGGGGGGGGGGGGGGGGGGGGGCACTGCAAAACCACAGGGCGATCAATAAGAAACAATTAAACACATTAACACCAACAGCAAGTAACGTCATTGCTACACTACCAAGTCGTGAGGTAGGCCTATAATACCAAATTATGAATTTGACATTGATGGTAGCCCATAAGGTCTCCCACTGAATATGACTTTCTCCCTTTCTGCATCCAAATCCGACAGCTTTGTTACGCACGCTCCAAATCATTATCGTCTCTTATATTGTCTCCAGAAATTATGTCCTTGTCTTTTTAACATTAGGCCACTCCAAAAACGTGCTATTCTATTGTAATTATGAGCAAGAGATAATCGCTTTCACATTCACTGTCCAACAATCCACAATGTGCGCGGCGGCCATATACAAAGACTAGGCAAACCCCATAGCACACACACACTCTCCTTCTGTCACACACGCTCTCTATCACACAAACACACACTCACACACGCGCGCTCTCTCTCTCAAACACAGAGAAAAGCACACACACAAGCAGTTACTATACACACACGAATGCCCCTAATCAACAGACTAAAACAATAACTCACTGCATTGTATCACAACTGACTCTTGACCTAAAAATATCGATTTCCCAAATGCATCTGCAGCATGCATTTGCTGAAGGCCTACTGCTGAGGTCAACATAGGTGACAACACAGGCTAAACAGAGACTACAATGACAGTTCACACCATGTCAAATAATCAACTAATTACACCGTAAGTAAAACACATTTGAAACAACTTCTAACAACAATAAAATGTCTAATTCAATATCACCACCAACAAACAACGCTCATTCACATGCAACGCCGACGCTGTAACAGGCCTTTATAACTTTTTGATAAACTATTATAAAGATAGAAAATGTTGTATTACTTACGTGATCGGCTAGGTTGGTCGAAGATCCTGAGAGCTCTTCGTGGTCTGACTTCGAGCTGCCATCCCGCTCGTCAATAACTAGATCTATTGGCATTTTTCCTTTCAAACAACTGATGTATCGGTGGCAAAAATTGTCGCAGAGTTCGTGCACCTAGAACAAGGAGAAATACAGTTTTTCAGGATGGGGAAACGACGCAGGCAATCCAAGAATAGGCCCTAACTACAGTTATTGGGCATTATCGGCCAAGGCAAGGAAACAATAGTGAAATTGTTGCAGCGCTTATTATTCTCTTGAGACTAGAGCAACAAGTTGAACGGCAAAAAATAAACAGCATGCGTACACTCGACAGATAATAACCAGTGGAGGCCAAATTTCCAGACTTCAAATATGTGATATTAGCATAACAACAACGACAAAGCATTATCAATATGGTCAGTGTATTTATAGGCCCAAGAGTGTGAATTCAATTCAATCCAATCACTCTGAATTATATTATGAGTCTCTGTATGACAATTAAACATGATAGTATTTACATTTTTTTCATATGAATATTTGTCTCAGAATAATGTGTTACAGCTCATGCAATATGAACTAATTTTCAGCTAAATTCAAATATTGTCAAACTTTTACATTTGTGCAACAAACTAGGCTAGCCTACTATACGATTTATACGGGGCCACATGCATGCAGAATCTAATGCTGATCACGTCTCAAATACTATAATCACACAATACAAAATATTAATTGTAAAAATGTTTACCTTTTCTAATTCTAAAAGGTGAAATCGTAATACTTGTATGGCTTGTATCATCTGAAAACAGGAATAAACAAGAATAAAAATCTACATTTCTGGTGGCGTAAAATTATGAAAGTATAATGGTAAGCAAAATGCTACACATTATTTTATTTTCACTTCATAGAACAAAAACACACGTGCACTTTCTTTAAGTTTGTGCTATGGGGTTCTCGAGTAAAACAAAGTTATGCTTCCCACACTTATCGTGGTGTGTGATATTGTATAGGCTATTCATTTAAGATTTGGAAAATACAAATGTAGGATTATCTGACAACTGAATTAGGCAAGACACATTTGGTCAACCGAGCCAATTTATGTGAGCTACTTAGGCAGCGACTGAACTATGACAGCGGCAGATGCAGCCACATTGCTCCCAATGAGTGGCCATGGTGCATTGGAGCAGGATTCGCCCAGCGACAGTCCCAGCGCTTTTTAGCCTAATCACAGGCTTCCCTCTCGGCCTCCTGTAGGCACCGTAATGCTGTGCCACTCGAGACCCCTCAGAGCTTCCCCTTGTTCACTTCAAAGAAACCTATCTAACATCTGTGTTGTGCTTTTGCATCAAATCCTCACATATTTACTTTGCGATGCCGAGAACACAAGAGCATGATTTAAGTCCACAAAACAAGCTAAGTAAGAGTAACTAACAGTCACACCAACAAGGGAATTGAAAGGCAAATGGTGGTCCTGCATAGTGCTTACCAAATTGTCCAACTCTGGATTTGATGAAAATAAAGGTTTTTCTGCTCGGACCTACAATAACACCAAAGATGGGGGGTTAATTACTTCTTACAGGCGTCGAGTGCATTTAGTCATGAATCCATTCCAAAAATAATATTTGACTTTAGTGCAATAATAGGCTATTGTATAATAAATAAAACATAATTCAAAGTTCTATTACATTTGCATTTCATACGGTGTAAACATGAATGAGTCAATATCACCAATGAATTCACGTGTTAACTTCGACTGTATAGCCTATAACACACTTTTATTTTCAAATGTTCGACTTTAACTTAACAATTCCCAAAAGTGAAATGTGTAAAAAGTTAACAAGTAGATACGTGTGCCATAAGCACTTGGAAAATCGTATTAGGTTTTTAGTAAATATATAAAAAATGACCTGTTTGGCAAAGACTGCAATGTCCTCGTTGAAGGAGTCGGAGGAGCAGACATCGCCGCCTGCTACCCCAGGCTCCCTCGGAGTGCACGTCGCCAGCTCGCACTTCTCAAAAACCAGCGCGAGCAGCGGGAATAATGGGTGACTGTAAGAGGGGAAACAGAGCCTGAGCACAACCCCGCATCCAGCGCCTCCACACAGGCTTAACACAAGCTAATCACACGGCAACACAGCAAGCTAAAGTTTAGCGTAAAACTAACGATGCTAGGAGTGTAAACAGTAAAAAATGTGTCAGGAATATAGACTATACTTGCCAAGGTTTTGACTAAGATAACTTTTTTGAAATGTAAATTCATCCATAAAGTAGCCTACTTTGTAAACAGCTTATGAATAAGCTATGTGCACATCGATGGCAAAATGCACTGTTTACAAGTTACACCATATGTGTTTGTCTTATATTTTTCCAATGTATTTTACGCACAGACACTAAAGCATTCACTAGTAATGGCATTTATAATGTTATGGGGATTATACCAAAAATATACTCCGAACTTTCAACTGTTTACAAGTATCCATAACGATAATGTTGTGGTGTTCAAGCCAGTGTTACAATGTGCCAATAACATGTATCCTTCTATTTAATAAAGGCTTAGTTTTAATTGTACTATAATGGTTATCCATAATCCTTTTAAAATATAAGATATGATAATATCAGATGACTGATACACTTTAGACCTCTAGGTTTTGACAATACTTTTTCCAAACACAAAATAATGCTTGAAATTGTCTAAACTAAACTTGCTAATGCATATACTCTGGGTTAACTTTTGCAACAAGTAAAACTTCCATAAGTCAAATCACCCTGAAAGCCTAAAATAGATGAATAATAAGGTATGTAATTATAGTCCACCTACCCATAAATTTGATCTTTATCCCTCTTTAAAACATCGTTGACAGCGGAGCCCATGCTATTGGGCATAACGCTGGGATGGGGTGCATGAGCACCGTAGTGCTGGCTGGCATGGATCGGTGGTCCGTGGTTCAAGTGATGGACTTGGGGTAGCGGCCGTGGAGCATGCGGGTCTCCGTACATAGACGCCGGGAGCCCGACTCCGTCCATCCCACCATAATGGGCCAGCTCATCGTACTGGAATAAAACAACAACAAAGTCAGAGGATAGAAACTCACGCGTAAATGTGCCCAAAATGTACATATAGTTACATTGCAACATTGAAGTCACAGTTGGCTATAGTCAAAGCGATATAGTGAAACTACACAAGCATTGGAAAAAGTAGCCTAATCCTTGTGCCATTCCTGTTGCTTTAACAGAAAAGGCACTCGCCATGGCTAAACTATGAATACATTGATAAGGTTTGTAATTACCAAAAACATTCAAAAGTTCTGAATCCCCGAAGATGGGTTACTTTGGCAAAACACAGAATTAATTAGGAGTCCCTTTAAAAACTGCTCCACAAATGCCGCGGAGACCGTCGGTTAAACTGAGGCTGTCACTCCACTTGAAGAGTAAAGGTAGGCTACTGCAAAAATGTCAAATAAAACGGCTTAGATATGAATACTTTGTAATGTAGCCACCACTGACAAGAGGATATCGATATGGAGGCCCTCCTAGTGGATTTGTATAGGTAAGTGTTGGAGATTTAAAACCTACCCTTTGCGCCATCAGGCTGCTCTCCAGTAAACTCCTGGATGTGTCGTATATTTAATATCCCAGTCCGGTTAGAAAGTGATTTAGTGGTACGATTCCTTTTTCAACCAACTTTTCTTTGCAACTTCTCCTATTCTCCAATGTGGTAGAGTACAAGCAGAAGCATCAGGAGGAGTTGTGCAATTTTTCTTGTTTTCCTCTTTCCCCCCCCCAAACAAAAAAAAAAAATTCAAGCACCAAACTGAAGGTTACAATCGGCCCATCAACAACCTGCATGTAACTAAACTGTCGTGTCTCATGGCTTTTTGCCACTCCAACTGTCAATCAAAGCCAGGGGTTGTCAAGGTAATGAATGAATGATGGTTGGTGATGATGTTCAAGAGAGGGTGAATCTTTTTTGCCCGTTTTCATCCAGCAAGTCCGCGTCCTCTTTATGCCTCCGGATCGCTATCTTGTTTTATTATTACTGTAAAAAGAAAAAGAAAAAGAAATTAAGAGATTGCAATTCAGATCTTTCCTTTCCCCCGTAGGTATTTAGTCTATCTCGCCGTCTGAGATGAGTGAGTGTCAGCGAGTGTTGGCAGGTTGGCTGCTAGCTTGCTTATAGAACAGAGTCAGTTTGCTGCGCTGATCGGCGGGAGACTGAAATGACGGAACCCGGAAGTAGCGGTGGCCATAGCCAGTCCTACAACAGCTACAGAAAGAGAGGAGAGACCAAATCCTGTGACAGTATGCACAAGGACGGCTTTAACTCGGGGGGAGCCAAACAACACAGCTTCTACACTCCCAGCCAATTCCATTCGCCTATAAGAGAAAGGCAAAAAGAAAAGTAAAAAAAGCGCAGTATTTGTGTTAATCTGCAATGTATTCAGACCCGAAACAGCGTTTTCCTATACATGCCAACGCGAACCTGTAACGCTGTGTAATAATAGTACGAAAAGCCCGAGCTAAGGCGCACGACTAACTTGTTCTAGTTTTCACTATTGCAAATAGTCTGAAAGAAATACGCGTGGCACCTCGCACCCTTTATGCATCAAAAACAGTAATCATAAATATGACAACTGTGAAACATTGTTCACGTATCATCACCCCTGCTTAGTTTTCTCTCCAAAATATTTTAAACTTAGAACCCATCAAGCCATCAAAACCTTATTTCTAGTCATATCATCTATAGGCCTAACGTCACTGTAAATATATCGGATGCGTTTTGAGTTTAATTTATGAGCATGACGCTTACTTGTTATATTGTGTTGTGGGTATGGTCGGTGTGCCTAGTATGAAATACATCCGTAATACCTTCTAATCGTACTGCTAATTATGAACGAGGCTGTTTAGCAAATTAAACGATATGGCGCACCCCCTCTCAGCCCGGAATTAACTTTTCCAAATAGAAAAAAGCTTTTGTAGAGAAAGTAATGTTGTATGTTTCTTTCGTCCAATCCCCTCTCTTGATAGAAATCCGTGCTTTACCTCAGAGTAGTCAATTATCAAAGCTCCACAAGATCATCAATCATGTGCAGTTTGAAGTTTAGAGGAGGAGCAACCCTCCGGCCATCGATTGCACCGAGGCTAGCCCTTCTTCACTGAGCCCAAGCATTTTTACGCACAAAACCGAAACAGGCCATCTATCTCTTTTAATATTTACCTCCATCCATGATAATTTACACTGTTACGCAGATGGCATCATCGTTATATTGATATGTTTTCACATAAATGGCTACATTTATGGCTCGGTGACATTTTTGTGGTTGTCGAAATGAACCATTCACAGGTTGGATGAGCTAGTGGGTTGGATTCAGCTGTAAGGTCAATAAACTCCCAACAAACGCGCCATACGGGTGCTTGGGTTGACAATAGAAATAGCAATTAGAAATATGTAATAAATGAAGCACCGTGACAACAATTATGTTTGTTGCCATAAGGGGGTGGGAAGCCCTACAAGAGAAAGTAGGACTGCAGGGTTGACAAACGACAGTATGGACATTTCAACGTGCAATAGCCCGAGAAGGAACTACAGTGTTGTGCGCAGAACGGCATGGCAGGGTCTCCAAATACGTCTGACCGCTGCTACATTCTGTGAACAGGACCAGGGGCTGGCTGTGTGAGCTTTTGAAGACTGTTGTTTTGATATTAGCCTGACTGCTTATAATGCTATCGTGCACTATGACTTGTACACATAACGCTTGCCTTTCCCCCACGGACAAACATGGTAAGTGAATCATATGTCCTTTGTTATAACTCGAAAAACGGAAGGTTCTTCAAAAGTGCAGTTGTGGAATGTCAGAAAGTCAAGCTATTTAAAGGAGCTGATATTATTAGGGTTACTGTAAATGTGTAAAATGATTCAGTCGCAGTACAGCTATCCAAAACAGGAAAGTCTCATTTTCAAGCGTTCAATAAGTAACATGTGCTACCTATTCACGTTATACGGTCAAACTCGTTTACAAAGTTTAATAATAAGAATATTTTTGATTTTCCATTTGTATTTTGGCCTAAAGGAGGTGGTGCAAACATTCGAAGAGCGTGTGAAAATTGCGGTGGTGATTATGCGTAACAGCCTTGATCTTCCAAAATGCACCTTAACCTTTTGAGAATTTAAAAGTTATATTTTTCAATTCATATAACACCATATTTTTGAATGTTTAGGAATGCATTTCAAAAGTTTATTTTTTAGATATTTTACTTGAAGTTCTTGGTACAACCTAAAGACATGCTATTCATTACAATGTAATGCAATGCAATGGTAAATCCAAAATATAGCCTCAATCAGCATTCAAATCTAACATCAATCAGAATAACATCAAATAAATTAGAATCATGTCAGTGAGACATTATAGTTTAGTTATGGCAACTTTTATACACTTAATCGTCGTTCTGTATATTGTATTTCAATCCTTGTACTTAATAGGTTGCTAATTAATATTTAATTATACCATTAAGTTAGCCTTATAAAACATAGAACATAGCCTAGATTAAATGTAGGCTACCGCAAACATGTTCTCATGGTTTTGGAAACCAAGTGTTTGCAAACTAAGACGTTTCAAGTGTCCTATATCATGCCCAAGTAGGCCTACCCATTATGTTTCGCATTATATTTCCAATAAGTGGATTTCCCATTGTGTGACTTTTCAGACTTGAGGACTCATACATATGAAAAAAATCAGTGTTCAAGTAGACTCTTAACTCCGTCAACATGCGGATCCCTCGCCTCTGCAGAAGATGGCATTAACAGGCAGTAAAATTTCATCTGGTGGTGTCAAATTGAGGTCAGTTAGGGTTAAAGCTCTCGGTGTCGGTGTGGGACATGGCCAGCTGCGTTTTGATTCATTAGGGGGCAGCGGATCCATTTCAAGGAAAACACTACTGAGACGAGGCTAAAGATGCACTCCGTGTCACATCCTAAAAGTGCACCACTGTAACAAAGTAACCCCAAAACTCCCATTTCAAAACAGACACCAATCTTTACCCTTGAAGCAGCCGTCCTCTCCCCTACGCCATGGCTTCCTCTAAAGTAGCCTGGTAGCCTAGCTTGTTGCTAAATATGGAGAAATGTTTTGTTGATTTAATTCCTTCAAAAAGGTCACTGATACGAATCGGGGTTTAAATCCCCTTAGTGATCTTAAATACTTCTGAAGAAATAATCGCTGCTTAACCACAGGAACAAATAACATCGGCCTAATCTTGTTTGTAACTTTGTTCTGAGTTGGCCCTCCTTAGTATTTGAGATTATGCAAATAGGAAAAGATAATGTATAGAAAGACCACAGATAAGAGTAGATCATAGACTTTTCTTAAGGGGCCAGAAAACCAACAACTGTTCCCTAATCTCTTTCAGTAGCCTTAAAGTCAATAAAAATAAAATTTTGAATTGCATTCAGGTATTTGATTTATGGTTATTTTCTTAAGTTTTATAGTAGGCTCATATTCAATTGATGTTCAGACAATATCAGTAGTCTATTGCATAATTATATTCTAGTTATTAACTAACTATTAATTTGTATAGTTTTGTTAACCTCAATGTTTAGGCTACATGATCTAAAGTGAAGTTAGCTTTGTTTATACATGGCCTTGTCAATGTTACGGCATTACGGCATTACCTCACCAGGCTGAACTCTTTCTGACCCCACGTGAAATGTGACTAGGGTCCCAGAAAGTGGAAAGCAACTCAAATACTTGTAAAAGTTTCGCGACTAACTGTAAATTCTTCAGCTCCAAAACCACTTTTTCCACTCTACGGATTCTCAGTCTTGTGTCGGAGGAGGGTGAGATAGCTACACAAAATGTAACTGTGGCTTTCTCCCTTGAAAATCTGTGGGATCTGTCTCAAAGACACTAAGCATGCCTAATGCGTAAAATATGCAGCCCTCTAGTGACATCTGGCGGAATGAACAAACACCAAACGTTGAAGCGCGCCACTATTACAAATTAATACAAAATAGGTCGTCTTTATGAAATACACATTTTCGTGACAACGAAAAATATGCACTGCAAATTGTGATAATAACGAATTAATTTCACATATAAACCATAGGCCTATATGTTTGAAGTGCAATTGAAGGCATTTTACAGCTGAAAATAGGCCTATTTGAAAAATATATTTTGTGAGTAGAGAGTATGGCTTCGATGCCCTGTATGTAATAAATATGTTGAGCATAATTTGTATTGCACAGAACAATTTTTATGAGTGACATATGTACCACGCAGGGCAATGTGTGAGATCAAAATAAAGGTAACCAAATTTGTACCATTCGTTTTAAGATTACCATTAAATTGAGGAGAAACACAGTGACAGTTGCGACCATCATTAGTTATGGTTTCTGGCTCAATTCATGTAAAGGAATTTACTGGTACACAGGCCATTCATCCACTCAATGCAATTACACAAAGGTGTTTTTTTTTCTGTACATGAAAGCTCCCACAATAGATAACTGCTGTTATAAAAAATTTTGCACATGAAACTCTGATGAAATACTTGAAATTCAATTTAGTTTTTTCGGGAAAATATGTTGAATGCAT